ACTATATATATATATATATATATATATATATATATATATATATATATATANAATATATATATATATATATATATATATATATATATATATATATATATATATATACATATATATGTTTATATATAGTATACACAGGGGTTTCAAATTTAGTTGTGTGTCGACGCTTTTATATACGAGCATGCTGCATCCGACTGTGCATTTGTACCCCCTACTAGTTATGTGTATATATATAGTGATTGATTCGTATTACCACAAGTTTTCATGTGTGCATATGTACATATATCCATATTCATTACCAAATCTGTGATACACTGAAAAAGTATTTTTGTTCTTTTACCCTATACATGAACAAAATCTGAACTATAATCTCATGCTAATGCTGAACGGGGCCTGGCCTAGTACTATTTCCTCTCTGCACCATGGATTCCCCCCATGACTTGCATCTTGGCCCTAATTCTCGTACACAACCACTCCCTGTATTGACAGATCTTCATGGGTTTAATCAACAATGGATGGTTGTCCATCCTTATTCTCTGTATATACACTATCTGCAACGCCGGCTTAGCTCACGGCAAACAGACTGCTGCACAACTAATAGACGAAGCGCGGAAGTTGTTGGCACACAAAGATTACGATGACGCTCTCAGGTGAGTATAGTCTACGAGTATGCTGATATTTATGTTTATATTTATATATATATGTATGTATGTATGTAAACATATACGCAAACATGCATGTATTATAGTTAGTCAAGTGTGAAGGGGTAACATCAATAGTATTGGTTGATCGCATAGTACATTGATGACAGTGTCCGGTGAGTATGGTCAGCTTGATAGCCTGGATCCAGGTCTAGAATGTGTGTTTTGCGATTCTGAATACGGGTTGTATGTAATATCGTAAACCGTTCGAGAAAGCCGTTAATTAGCCAGCTTGGGATTGTATTCGGTTTTACATATGTTGCACCGGTTATCCTGTCCACTCCACGTACTAGTTTGAAGACACTAAGAGTGCTGAATATATCTGTAGCCTTCCTGACTTCCCACGGTGTAGTCGGCGGTGGTAGGTATGATGTAGTATCTCTTGGTTCTATATTCGGTCCTCAATTAACAGATGAAATATAATACAGACTTTATATGCATATTAGTTTCCGACCATTGCAGGGCCTTTCCTCCTGCGAGTATCGGCTATTTGGTGGTCATTTTTATTGAGCAATCGTAAATTACTTTTTAGTACGTCCGATAAGACTATATGAAGGCGCATTCAGTATAGAAATTAACAACAACAAGCCCTGAAGTAGAATAAAAGAGAGATGTATGATGATGAAGAGAGAGGTGCAAATCAAACACATAATTTCGTACCACATTCCAAAGCGTGCAGCGGCTGATGTATTCACGACTCTAATACGCCATAACTTAACACCCCTACCTATTACTCGCAACAGGCTCTATGGAGACGCCATCAGTATAGAGCCCGACAACTATATGCCCTATTTCCAGCGAGCAACGGCCTACTTAGCCGTGGGGGTCTCGAAGCCTGCCCTGGCTGATCTCACTAAGGTCATCGAACTGCGACCCGATTTCTCGCACGCCATAATCAAAGCCGGTGAACTGCACCTGAAGGTGAGTGTACCGAACTTCCTCGGCGTGTGCAGTGTGCTATGTGCCTTGTGTGATGTGCGCATGCTATATACGTATCTCATAGGCCATTTGTTGGAATGTATGTATGGCTAGTACAGTTTCATATGCGCTTTTACTTATGCTTCCCATGAGCTATATATATATATATATATAAGCGTATCAGCTTGTGTACAGTGTGTGATTCTTACTCTGTATTCCTCTCTTTGCATCCCATAGCTAGGTGATCTGGAGGAAGCAGAGAAGACCCTTTCAACGATCAATGACCAAGAGAGTCTCCAACTGCTGCTCGATGTCACTCAAGCACGCAAGTTCAAGGCAGAGTATGTGAACAGTCACATTGAGCCACACGAAGCAACACACAGCAGCCGTTATGAGGCCACTGCATGGCATGAAAACATCTAATGAGTTGGAATCGCATCCTGTCGCTATATTTGTATATCGTACACGTCATATCTCGCCCGTACGAAGGTTTTGTATTGAATGTGGTACAGGACATAGTGGTTACAGATCAGCTAATGCGGGTCAGCTATGCGGGCGGAGTGATGGAGTGATGTCCATGGGCTTTATCGGCGTACCCCTCTGGTGCTATTTATAAATGGTTCATCACTCAACCACGTCTGTGTACCATCCTTGGCACTGTGTGCAGTGGGTTTAGGGCAGCTGATTGGGGACACTAACACAAAGCCGAGCGTGATTTGAGCAAAAACCATTGAGCTGTGTTCACCACCATTACCAAAATATCTGCATATGGCTATATATATATCATCACTCACTCAACCCATGTCTTTGTACCGAACTTTGCGCCGTATATAGCGGGTACAAGGCGGCGGCAGCCGGGCAGCTACACGAGGCCGAGCGGGATCTGAGCAAAGCCATTGAGCTGTGTGGGGCTGACGTAGACATGCGCCATGTGCGTGCGGATGTGCGCATTAAGTTGGGACTCATTGGGGAGGCGATCCACGATGTCTCCAGAGCGGTCAAGATGACAAACAACGACGTTTCAGGTAGGTCGAGATAGCGACGGGTGCAGGTGGATGGCGGGTTGGTTGGTTGCCGGTGTTTGTCGGACTATGCTGTATGTACGTGTATTTTCTCGTATGGATGTGTGTATGTGGACGTGTGTTTTCTCGTATAGATGTGTGTGTATGTGCACGTGTGTTTTCTCGTATGGATGTGTGTATGTGGACGGGTGTTTTTTCGTATGGAAGTATGTATGTGCACGTGTACGTGTATGAATATGGTGTCGTGGTCTGCCCTCTGTACTGATGCCTGGGGCTTCTTTCGACCGTCTTTGGTTTGCAGGTTACTTGAAGCTAAGTTTGTTATACTTTGAAATCGGGGACGCGGAGAAGAGTCTGGACGAAATTAGGGAGTGTCTCAAGCTAGACAACGACCACAAGGAATGCTTCAAACATTATAAGGTACTGCATACGAACTTCACTCTTCGCGAAGCACTACATAGGTGCAGACTTTCATACATTACTGTGTTGAATACAACTCTATGACTACAATCACTATATACAAGCCGTAGTGTGTACTGGATGAGATATACAATACAGCTGTATTCAGAGACACTCGGTAGACGTTACATGGCACCAGACTCACGCATTGTTATGTGCGTGCCTGCAGATCAAACGCATACATGTGTGGCCAGTCAGGTGGTCGTTGTAGACATCTCCTGGTGACCGCTTCTTCTAGATCGAATGCACATTTATACTTGATTCGGTTCTTCGATGTATCGGTTGGGCATTGTTGAAGTACACCGTTATTTAGCACTTGTATTTATTTCAAAATATTTCGTACGGCAGGCTTGGTACTAATCCCTTTCTCTCCCTCCCCCCATCGGACGGTAAAAAAAACTATTTAAACATTTACATTTATTCCAAAATATTTCGTAAGGTAGGCTTGGTACTAATCTCTTTCTCTCCCTCCCCCCATCAGATGGTAAAGAAACTATATAAGAGCATTCAAGGCATCGACAAAGCGGTGAACGAAGACCGCCACGCCGACGCCATTGAGAAGACGCACAGAGCACAGGTACTGTATGTAGAGAGTCTATGCATGGTTGTTCACAGTGTGTGCAGGTACTGTATGGGGAGAGTATGTATGGTTGTTTCGATAGTGTGCAGGTACTGTATGTGGAGAGTATGCATGGTTGTTCACAGTGTATGCAGGAACTGTATGTGGAGAGTATGCATGGTTGTTCACAGTGTGTGCAGGTACTGTATGTGGAGAGTATGTATGGCTGTTTACAGAGTGTGCAGGTACTATATGGGGAGAGTATGCATGGTTGTTTCGATAGTGTGCAGGTACTGTATGTGGAGAGTATGTATGGTTGTTTACAGAGTGTGCAGGTACTATATGTGGAGAGAATGTATGGTTGTTTCGAGAGTGAGCAGGTACTGTATGTGGAGAGTATGCATGGTTGTTAACAGTGTGCAAGTACTGCATGTGGAGAGTATGTATGGTTGTTTAGAGAGTGTGCAGATATACCTGTGCGATAGAGCGGAAGGAGAGAGCTCAGGTACTACATGTAGAGTGTCTATGCATGGTTGTTTAGAGTGTGTACCAATAGTTGAATATATGTTGTTGGTTAGTGTGCGTGTACACCGGTGATATAGAGTTGACGCACGTAGCAGAATGCGTGCAAAATTGTAAAGAAATTATATATATATATAGGCAGTTATCTCTTATGGCGCATGCGTATAAACACATGTATATTCACAGATATTTCTGTCACTCACACGAGTACATATATATATATATATATATATATATGAATATCAGTATCAATATCAGTATCAATATCAATTTACATACACATATCAATATCAATATTAATATATCCATATATCCATATACAGGAAATTGTCGGGGACCATCCGGCGTTCACCACCTTCTTCAACAAGCGATTGTGCAAGTCATACAGAGCCAACAATGATGCCGTGAAAGCCATTTCGGCGTGTTCTAAGGCCATTGCAGGCGATGAGTTGGATACATCGCTCTTAGTTGATAGGGCGGAGGCTTACATTCTCAATAATGATCTTGATAAAGGTATACGGAAGATGTATGAGATATGCGTGTATAGATGGTATATATATATATATATATGTGTGTGTGTGTGTATGTATGTATGTATGTATGTACATGTATATCTATATCTTTATCTTTATCTATATACATAATATACCTACATATATATCCCATCTGTCTGTCAAATCATCCTAATTCTACATTTCACTAACATTGACCCGTATGTTCTACAACTGTTACATCAGCCGACGCTGACTTCCAGACTATTCTAGATGGCGACTCAGAGAACCGCGAGGCGCAAGAGGGCAGACAAAAGGTGGCCCAGCTCAAAAAACAGGTATGGTCCTGAAAGCCTGTTGGGTCACACGGTTGATTTGTACTGAGCAGTCCACGTGGGTTATAGTAGCGGTAGTAATCACAGGTGGGTTTAAAATGGATGGTCTTATCACTTGGGACTGTTTTCTAATTATGAGTTCATTAACAAACGTTGCGAGATCTATAACCAGATCTTTTAAAACAGAGAGAGGTGTACTCCATTACTTATTGCCAGTGGTACTTATTCGTTATGCACTGTCCTTTAAAAGGCCCTGGTGATAGCTTGTCCATGAGTGTGTAGGCGAACGTTCGCCGTGTCTGGTGACTGGCGCCATGTTCATCTGTTTTAAACAGAGGGAGATGTTCTCCATTACTTATTGCCAGTAGTACTTATTCGTTATGCACTGTCCTTCAATAAGTCCCAGTGATAGCTTGTCCATGAGTGTGCAGGCGAACGTTCGCCTTGTCTGGTGAGGCACTGTTTATCTCTTGCGTTAGGCTGAGACTGCACAGAGCGTTTTGAGTTTGACTCCGATAAGAGCGCGTGGGATGAGTGTTAATCCTAGAGCCAACGTCCTGAGCTTTCTTATTATATGTATTTTTTGCGGTGTGGATTTGACCACTATCAGAGGTTGTACATGACGCGAAGCATCAGGAGGGTGTATTCATTGATAGGTACAAGTATATATAACGTACATATGCATATATGTATATGATATGTGATATGTGATGTGTAAATATGTGTATGTGTACATTCACCCATACACACGAATTACATCCTCATACTGCGCTGTACACCCCATCTCTCGCACACAGGCGTCGAAACGGGACTACTACAAGATCCTGGGTGTGACACGAAGCACCAAAAAGAAGGACATCCTCAAGGCATACAGGAAACTGGCCCTAGAGTACCACCCCGATAAGTTCGAAGGGTCGGATGAAGACGAGGCGGCGATAGAGGCCCACAAGAAGCGGTTCATGGACATCTCCGATGCGAAGGAGGTCTTGACGGATCCAGGTGGGTGTGTGCGGATGGGTGTGTAGGTGTGCGTGTGTGTGAGTGTCCGTATGTGCATGTATGTGAATGTGGTTGTGTCTGTGCATGTGTGTATGTGTGTGCGAACGCGGGAGTGCTGATGTGGCCCTGTGTGTATAGTATAAACTGGTGAGGCTGAGATGCGAATCCAACACAGCATACAAAAAAAAGTACGTAAGAAAGCCCTTTCGTGCTATTCTTTGGTGCTAAGGCCGTCTTGGCGTACAAGTGCGGTACAAAGGGTCTGGTGATACTATGAAAGACCATAGGACTATATGATGAAGTGGCTCTCATATACACTACCTCAGTACCAGGTAGATGCTGGCTGGGTTTATCACCAGGATGTGTGGGCAATACGAACATAGGATTGGTTTTCTCTGTGCAATCTTATATTATGTGTGTGTGTGTGTGTGTGTGATTGACGTTTAACGTAGACCTCTTGTTGTATCAATTATTCTATTAGAGCACACCAACTACATACGTCTTCACATACATAGGATTATACGTCGTCACATACAGAGAATTGTGCGTGTACTATAAATAACGTACCTAGATGTCACCATACATGCGCCCCATATACTTTCGCTATCTGTTGAATCTTGTCTTGTTTTAACCATATCATGTGCAGAAGTGAACGGCAAACAGCTCGATACTTTACGTGTTCTCGGCAAATATCTAGATACTTAAATATCTCGATACTTTACGTATTCGCGGCAACATCCCAATCTTTTCCGAATCGAATTCTCGTCTTGTTTCTAATCGCCTTACGTTTTTGTCCACACCTCCACACACAGAGATGCGCAAGCAATACGACCAAGGCATCGATCCGATGGATAGCGAGGCCCAGAAGGAGCAACAACAGCAGCAGCAATGGGGCGGGGGAGGACATCCGTTCTTCAACCAAGGCCACCGACAGCAACACTTCCACCAACGCGGCGGAGGGGGCGGTGGTGGGTTCAAGTTCCGATGGGGATAACTGCACATACATAGAGATGTAGATATATGTGTGCATGTATGTGTGCATGTATGTATGTATGTATGTATGTATGTACGTATGCATGTGAATGTGTATACAAGACTGGACGTGCGCGGAGGTACGAGTTCTGTGGAGGACGGTGGATTGCCCCATATACGTGTGTGTAATGTGACGTATGCGCACTACACTCATCGAGGGGCGCCCGAGTGTGCTGTTTCTACGCGGAGGTCAAACACACGACCACAGCCGATATGAACTGATCATCGTTTCTATCGACTCATCGGGATTAGAGATGAGGGGGGCCGGGAGGGGGTTTTGTTGGAGTTGTTTACTCGTTCATATGCACACATACATCTATATACTACGCACACACATATACACCTACGGAATCACACAGCGGAATAAAACACCTGCATATACATACACGTGCATCTACGTGAATGCGGCAAGCTTCAGGCTACACATCTGCTAGAAACAGTGGGGATGGGGGGAGGGGATTATAGGCATCGCGGCACCACCCTCTGCAACTCGTAACACTTAAAGAGAGTAATTTAATAAAAGTTATCTGCAAGTCGGGGGTGTATTAACTTTTTATTATATCCAATATGTCAGCTCGACTGCGGAACTCTATTAGATAATTCAAATTGTCTTACTGATGAGAATTTGGTACGGCACGATCGGTGAATGGTGTGTACGAAATATTCAAATGAATGTAGAGATCAACAATCCAAAGCAGAATGTGACGTGTTAACATTCGGTTTATTGGTTAAGCGAGAGTCCGAGTTCACTAGAGTTAAATGCCCTCCGGAGACATACACGTGTGGTCGCCCTGAGAACCGAGTCCTGCCAACTTCGAGTTTATCCTTTTCACGTCTATATTAGATTAGCTCGTGGTCTTTGCCTAGAAATTTGAAACGTAAATTTTGAATGTTGCTATTTTAAACATAATGAGTCCAGGCACATAGTGAAGAGTCGCTGAGCCCAGAAACGCAGTCAATGGCACACCCTCTCCGATGCAGTTGAACGCGATGATTTCTAAAGAACCATCGGTGTTACAGTCTCTATTCATCCAGACCTTAGCTAGTCTCGGATCCCTCAGGAGTGACCCGTGCCCTGGGTGAAGTGGCCCTCCGTTGGCCCAGATTAGTCATCATAGCCCACGAGGAGGTACGGCCAATTAACCAGGACTAGTCTGGACCATATAGAGTCCTCTCCTTACCCCTGTGGCGACTAAACCCTAAACCCTAAACCCTAAACCCTAAACCCTAAATCCCCTAGATCCCTGAAACCCACGTCGTCCAATAAACCATCTCTATACTTGATATACACCTCCAGGTAAACCAATCCTCCGGGAGTCAACCCGTAGTCTGTTCGGTACTGAAAAGTACCGAACTCTCAGTCATGTCGGTTGCTACATTAATAGCAGATCAGGAAAAGCTTCCAGGTGAAATTAGAATACATTAATATACACGGAATAGAGGTTTGTGTGGACGAATTGTTACACCCGAGGATCCGGAGAACATCTGCGGCTATCCAAGGTGTACAATCAAGGAAAAGATGTTCTGTTCTACATAGTAGATCGGAAACGAGTGCCATTGTTTCTGTCAGATTCCCCGATTCTGTTAATGTGTTTTGGTGGCTCTAATCTTTTTATATCCCTAAACTTCAAAGCCTCAGTCAGTCTACAATACTCTGCATGTCATGGATAGTCCAAACGCCGTGTTTGTTTGCGTGGTTCATGGTAAAACTATATCGCCAATTAATAGCATACCTACACAGCCAATCAGTAGTACACGTACAAAGCCAAGGTGTAATCTACATACACAGTCAAACAGTGATATACCTGCACAGTGAAACAGTAATATACCTATAGCACCAAACAGTAATATACATATACGGCCAAACAGCAATATACTTACAAAGCAAAAAGTAATAAACCTACACAGCAAAACAGTGATATATCTACACATCCAAACAATGACATACCCACACAGTCATGCTCTAGCTCTCTGAGGATAAATGCCAGCACAATACTCTAGCTCTCTGAGGATAAATGCCAGCACAATGCTCTAGCTCTCTGAGGATAAATGCCAGCACAATGCTCTAGCTCTCTGAGGATAAATGCTAACACGTTACCGCTTTCAGGGCATTCCTTCAATCTTTTAAGCTCGCACACTTGTGGTGTTTCAGCTTGGGGGGGGGTTTGTAGTCAGGAAGTCCCTGATAGGGTGTATTTAGGATTAGGGTTTATTTGATATTTGGGTTTTATTAGAGACTACATTTTAAACTGGGTTTATCCAATCAGGTTAGAACAGATTTACGGAAAACACATGATCAAAATGATAGTCACAGGATTTAGTTCAATAAATGAACAACGTCTCCCCTGGTACGAGGGGAGTACGTTGAGATACAGTTATCCTCGACTACTTACTACAACCTACACAGTCAAACAGTGATATACCTACACAGTCAAACAGTGATATATTTACAAAGTCAAACAGTGATATATCTGCACAGCCAAACAGTGATATACCTACAAAGTCAAACAGTGATATATCTACACAGCCAAACAGTGCTATATCTACACAGCCAAACAGTGATATACCTACACAGCCAATCGGTAATATACCTACACAGCCACAGTGTAGAACTCCTATAGAACCAAATAGCGTAATAGCACAGCAGGCAACTCCTTATCGCCACTTAAGATATTGTTTGCGACGATGTGTTCACATTGGTTATGAAGTACGATATGTTAAAGGTCCATATGGGCATACGTGAGCGTATTCATCACCCAAGTCAAACGTGTACGAATGAAGGGGTAGTACACAGTGTAGCGTATAGTCGTATACGTCACAGTCGTACCCCATATAAACCATCTATGGCCAACTAGTTCACGTGAGCCAGGCCGAATTAGCGCCCAACCGGAATGCAAACGTGGCTATATGGTATGGAGGTAGTGTTCTGTGTTTGAATGTACATATTTTTCCATCACACACAGGTTTAATGACGTATATTTTCTCTTGAATAGGGATATACAGTACGTTTACACACAACACTCGCCAATACATGGTCACTCGACTCTCAAATGGAAGTCATCTTTGCACACATCATGGGCACCGGTGGCTCTGACCTGAACATAACAAGATCATGAGATCTATTCACACTTTAACTCGTTGTCTACACTCGCATTCGTACTCAGGTGTGTACGAATGTTCTAGTATGCACCATGTTAGTAAACGTTAGCAACCGAATCACGTATTGATAAGCCATATTCCCACCTATGTTTGATCGGAGAGAAGTGCAGATATGGATTACCACACACAAATTTAATCGGATGCTGGACACCTATTCACTACTATTGACTTTTGTTTATTAATTTCAACCGGGCATACACCCATATGCACACTAATTAAATGATCCCGCTTTGTCCCGGAATTCAGTAGTACCCTGGTATTTCAATAAAAGTATCGATCCATACAGAAGATCCCGTATGCATATTGTGGGTGCAGCCGGTTATCCGTAAACGCCAACTATGCCACTTGCATAGTTCGTTACAGGATACAACAGCAGCGCCGTGTGTTTGTAGTGGCTCTGTGCTCTATGTGCACACACACACATACAAATCGCTCAATTTAAACCCCGGTTTTTCCCCTTCCCCTGTTTCGCTGTCAACGGATGTCACCCATCACTCGACCTCTCCAATGACCTGGTGGAGAAAACGTACTATCGATAGTCCCATGAATGCTACCTACCACTCGAACTCTCCAATGACCTGGTGGAGAAAACGTACTGTCGATTGTCCCGTGAATGCTACCTACCACTCGAACTCTCCAATGGCTTTGTGGAAAACGTATTCCCGATTATTGATTCGCATCATCCCATTTTTCAGCGTGGCTTTCCACTTTTGTTTGGTACGGGTCACCTGATAGAGATACATGTCGTGAAATCGGGTCAATATAGAGACATTTCGTTTGGATCATTTGTTATAGATGTGCATATGTGAAACTGAGACAAATTTGGAACACTATTTTGGATTACACAGATATGAGCTCGATATACTCAGACGCAAACGCGTTCAATTACAATACAAACAAAAACTCACGTTTAGTGTTAAAACATGGTCATTATACATGATAGATATCATTTTAAACGCTTTACGCATTTTCTTGAGGCTCGCACAGCTGAAAAGCAAGCGCGTATGTCTCCCCAGTGAACAACACTTGACATCTCACAACTCACTTAGGCATACGAGCAGTGACATACATACTAGCTACAGCGGAACTATCCAGGCTAAAAGAGGACCACGTGGCGTAGATAAGAATACAACTGGATATATACACTGATTGAGGGTATGTGTGTGTGGGTTTAGCTACATCGACACACCACCACCCCCATATACAAATATGTATATATTTAAAAAACAATACGCAACACATCCATACAAGTACATGTATATATTTGAAAAACAATACAAAATACACCCATACAAGTACATGAATATATCGTAAGTAATACTTGATACACCCATACAAGTATATATATATATATATATATGTATATATATATATATATATATATATATATATATATATATATATAT